AGGCAGAGAATTTCGTCCCGTTGGGTCCCTGACAGGTGGCGTTCGTCGGGCACGGGCTGCTCCCGAGCCCCACCGTGAAGAAAAACTTGCGGTCGACGGTCTTGGGGACGTTCGCTGGGCAACGGGCGTTGGCGAGGCTTCTGAGGCGGCTCGTGAAGTTGGAGACGAAGGAGGTGTCGTTGATCGGGGGCAAAGTTGGGATTTTCGATAAATTGGCGGCGGTTGAGGGATTCGGGAGTTTGTATTGGAGGATGCCGAGGACGGTGGAGTTGTCGAATGTGCCTTGCCCTGTGAAGTAAGGTCGGGCGGCCATCGGGTAGGTGGCGTTTGTGGGGTATGGTTTGGTGCGGAGGAGAACGTTGGTGGTTTGACCTGGCGCGATGACGAGGATGTCCATGTCGAATGGCTTCACATAGACGGCGTCGGCCTCCACAACAGTGAGGTTGTGGTCGGCGATGCGGAAGAAGAGCTCGTCGTTCAGGGCGGCGTTGATGAGACGGAGGAGGTACGTTTTCCCCAGTTTCACCTTCAACTTGAATGTTTCTGCAAACCAAAACCATTAATTGGTGCTTTTGGATAAATGGACGAGAGACATGTTCTACGACATTTGATACTGTAAATATAAATAGAGATGTGTTCCAGTGAGAATGGTTATATCGTAGCTATCAGATCGAATAATCCAACAGCCAAAAAAGGCCAAACTCGACACACTTTAAGGGAATTATGGACAAATTTTCCATTCTATCGACCCTCCACCTGTGAGCCCCACCCCACCAACCCGTGTAGCACAAGGGTGTCGTACTAGTATATATCTATATGTGGAATTACCTTTGGGAGAACAAATGTTGTAGGTCGGTCCGGGGAGCCCGTTGATGGTGTATGCATCTGAGACGTTGGGTCCACCTCCAGTCTAGAGAGCTTGGTTGATGACGGCCTCGGTGTCGGCATTCCACCACTCTCCTGTTATATACACATTTTTCACGTTCGATTTAAAACAACTCGTTCTTTCTTTAAATTATTTTCCCACTACATTCATATATACGTGTAACGAAAGAAGAATGAGATTTCGAAATAGAAACTTAACGGAAGATGATCGGGACCTCCTTGTGGGGTTTTGGGAAGGGGTAAGGCGCGTTTTTGGCGGGAAGGATGATGATGGGTCCATAAAGAGTGGCTCTCAACCACGAGGCATGGGCGTGCCAGAACAGAGTTCCTCTCTGCCCTGTAATCGTTAAGTTGTACACGTACTGCCCAGTTTGAATCGGGCACTGGGTTATGTATGCGGGCCCGTCTGCCCAACCGCTCAACAGCTGCCTAACGTCGTGCCTAATTTCGTAAAACAAGAAAACTAATTAAACATCGCTCAAAATAGACTGCAAAACGTGCGAAATACATGTATAGTTTACCAGTGGATGCTGACATTGTTGGACACGTTGTTGACCACTTTGACCACGACACGGTCGCCCTCTGTAGCCACAATGGGAGGTCCCGGGAACTTCCCGTTCACGGTAATAATGCTCTTCGTCTTGCACAATCGGGTCACGTTTTTCAAACTTACCTGCACGACACGTTTTGGATGCAATTAGTAAGCATTAGTAATCGGCCATCGGGTACAAATTACGGCACGCTAGACGGGCATATAAGAACTTTGCCGAAAATGAATGGCTACTCACGTTGAACGTGTAATGCCTCGTTTGTTGGGCCGTAACCGGAAAATCAAGAACCGAAAGCACACAAAGAAAAGAAACTAGAAATACGGCCGACGAAGCCATGGCTGTCCGAACTAAAAGTGAGAAATTTAAATTTGTTTGGGATGAAATAGTTTGAGAAATGCAGTTTCCTTATATAAGGACTCACGGTTTGTAACAAAAGAAAAATTGGATTTAGTAGTATAGGATGATACCATACCAACAGTTGGCCCAATAATCAGTGTAAATTAAGTGACCATCATTTTGATTGGACATTCCAGCTTACTATATATGGTATTGTCAACTCTTTATCTTCTATTATAGTTCATTTTTCCCTTGTTATGCAATTCAAACTCAGGGTGTCCTTGTTTGGTCTCTGGTTAGTATGCATTAGTCATACATTCTAGGGCTGAGCATGGGACTCAAAGATTTTCGAACCGTTCTGAAAATCGAACTGAACTCACTCCGAACTAAAAGGTCGGTCCCATTGAGTTTAGGATCACAAGCTCTCGTGTGAGGCAATCTAGTAATTAAGCGAGTCGAGCTGACATATTTTTTTTGACTGTCGTAGTGTCGTGAGTCCGTGCAAATTGACATTTTATCGTATATATCCACTTTTATTGGTTTACAAGAAAAGAATTATTTTCATGTATTAAATAAATAATAGTTTATCATAAACATGAGTAAAAGATTCACCTTAAAGTATAAAACATAGACGTTTAATTATACCGTAATTTGTACAACATAAATAAAAGAGTTACTATAACCAAAAAAAAAACAAACTCTGGCAGCTGCAAGTCAACCTAGTTTTGTCTGAGTTGTTGGATTATCATCTTGGGCTATATACTAAATAGCTTATTGGGCCAATAAGTGTTAATTGTGTTGTACCATTTATTTACTTAGTAGTATTTAGTAGTTGGGATATGTTAGGCCCAAGTAGAGTTGAATGAATTAAGCATGTGTGATGTGTGTATGTGGTGAAGACCTTGGTCCCACAATTTGTTACAAAAAGGGCATATTTTGTTGGATTTATAATTGGGAAAATTACATACATATACCCTTATATAGATATATTTACATATATACTATCTGTAGAAAAATTAATCAAAAAAGGAATAAGTAGTGGATTTATTTTCATTTGTACGAGAATTGGTTCAAATTAACATATCCGTTTCTCTCTCCATATATTGATTAATGGTATCAAATATGATAGTTTCTCTCTCCATATAATGAGCATGGCATGATGGCCTCCACAATCAACGTATCAAATCTGATACGTTTCTCTTTCCATCCATTTCTCTCTTAATGTTTATGTTTTTTTCTCTCTCCGCAAATTTATTTCGGTAAAAAAATTTAGATAATATATATATTTTCTCATAACCACGAAAAATATGTCAGATATACTGTATATATACACTAGATAAACAAGATCAAACATTTTTCTAATATTAACTGTATAGTTATACGTAAGATAAACAACATATAAACAACACTAAAACGGTATATAAACATAATACACAATTTTGAATTATTGCAAAATCCAAACCGAATGTAGTTATACATTAGATAAACATTATATGTCTACTTTACATGACACCGAATTGAACTTAGAACTTATCAATTCAAACTTGTTTCAACTTTACATGAAATTTACAAAGTTCGATCAACAATTTTGTGCACTCCAAAAAACAACACGGTATATATTGTGTATAGATATACTGTATATATACATAAGATAAATAACATGTAAAATGCATATAAATTAACCGTATAATTATACATAAGATAAACAACATATAAACAACACAAACGGGATAAAACTTAACACAACATTCTGATCGAGTGCAATATAATTAAACTTAAGATAAACTAACAATATATAAACACAAAACCTCATACAACTATGACACATGTACAATTAAACATATCTAATCTAAACCCAATCTCGAGTCGTACTCTTGTTGAAAATTAGAAGAATCTTCGAACCCTATTATTCTTCGTGTCTGGGGACATCTTTTTCGCTTTTTGTTTCATTTCATGTTGTGAGACGAAATCGTCGCCGTCGTCCGACTCATCTTCGGCGGTCTTCTCTATTTTCTGAAATTGAAGTTTTTTTTGTATAATCTTTCGCTCGCGGGGTTGAAATTGGGATGTGCGACGAGATCGGGATCGAGTAATCCTTGCTTCGTCTTCACTTTTGGAGGGTTTGCCCTCGATTTTGTTTTCTTTTGCCATTGTTATTCACAATTTCACCGGCAAAATGTGGTACACTGCGGTATTGACACGACTCGTCGGAGAAACGTCCGGGGTTCTGGGTAACCTGACGACTTTGGGCGAGTGATCGGAAAGACGTCCTTTTGATGCTGGAGGTTCGCCGGTGATATTTCGGTTCATGCGATGAGGTTTTTTTTTTCAATTTAGATCTGAATGTTTTTTTTGGGGAGAGAGATGGTTGATAGTGTAGAGATTTACAGTTCTATTTTCTCGAGATTTGGAGAGAGTGATAGAGATTTTCAGCTCTTTTTTTTAGGAGGATGAGTGTAAATATGGAGAGTAGATCACTTTTCCCGAGAATCATGTGTAAGAGATAATAAAGTATATAATTAATTGTATTTAACTGTTAATTAGGCCAATTTAACCGCACTAAATATCATTTTAATTATTCCCTAACGTAATTTTGATTAAAAAATTTTGGGTTCGTATTTCTGTTATTATTTTATGTCTAGAGTGTAAATTGTGTAAATTTTTCTTTATAATTTAGAGAGAGAGAGAGAGAGAGAGAGCACTCACGGCTGCACGAGGGATTTAAAATCAATATATTGGGCCCATTTCACAAGTTAAGCCCAATTTAAGTTAGAGGACATTTATTTGCTTGAGAGGAAACGCAAATCTGACGTCTCCAGGCACAAAAGGAGAATTCACGCACAGATATTTATGTGAACAGAAAGAGCCGACGGACATACGCGAGGAACTCTTCAAATGTGGAAGGAGGCCGCATACGCACACGAGAACAGGATAATTTTAGGGTCAAAATCTTTTTCACCCCATTATATATCTATTCTTTCTTTTTCACACCACTTTGTCAAATAACTTATTTTACACCCCAAAATTCACGAAATGCTATGCGATATTGCACT